TGCGAGTGATGTGATGCTGACACCTTCAAACCCCATACAAAACAATACTGATAGACTATTATCTACAAATGATAGTGTTCAAACTGATAATCAGGAGAGTCTCGTAGCTCAACTTCTTCAGGAAGTATCCGGTGTAGAGGCAACTCATACTTCACATATACTAGAACCTATTGTGGGTACTACGATTGGTATTCCTTCTGCTTCAGTTCTACCACCCCATCAGACTGATTCTTCAGATGAGGAATGATAGGTCTATTCCAGGAGGAAGAAGAAGAATGGAGGCCGACACCAGCTTTGGAACATATTGGATAATACATTGGTTACTACTGGCAATGACGATCATCTTACCAGCTTATTAGCTTGCTCCTTCCCTAGAAATAGAGGCAGAGATAATATCAAATTGGGTCTCTCTCTAGCCACCTGATTCTATGTATTTCAGTACTGTTAGGCTTTTTAAGTACTGTTAGACTTTTTATTTAAGTATCTAATGTATTAGAAGGAAATGCCATCATAGTAATGAGATGTGCCGGCGTTCACTTGCAGCGTGTTCCAAACAAGCAGACATATATATATATATATATATATATTCGCCAAAATAAAAATTTCATTGATCAGAAGAAGATACAATGGTTTTAGTGAGTAGGTGCTAGATATCCACTCACAAGGCATACATGACTCAAAAAAATAACAAAAAAGTACAAGTAATCCCAAAACAACCGGATAATTTCCCCAAAAGGATAAAATGGTCCACCAGAGAGCTTCATCATGATGAGTGGTCTTTCTTCTCCCTGGTTCTAGAGAGGGACTCTAGCACCCAACTGATAAAGACTTCCACCCGAAATGAGCAAAACATCATCCTGTAAATTCCTGAGTTCATTCAGTCCTTTTTTCTTCTTCCTGGTTTTGTAAACTTGCCAATAATCTTCCAAGGGTTGTCCCAACTTATCATTGAGTTGATTATCAATGGGAGCAATTTCCACCTGTTGCACACCTTGAACTTGACACTCTGCCAAGGTTTGAAGGCCCTCAACATCAACGATAATTGTTTCCATAGCATATGGAGCACATCTGGCACTAAAAGGAGAGTATCCTCATTTTCGGTAACATGAGGGGGCTGAGGTAGTGAGGGGTGCTCCTCTTGGGCACAAACAGTGACAATATTCTCTCTAGTTGCAATTTCCACCATATTAGCCGGCGGAATAGATGCTTCTTTAGTAGTTAGATGAGACACTTGAGGTTGGGGTCTCAAATTAGGGTGGAGCCTGAAATATTTTTCAAGTGTGTGTCCAAACATCATACAATGGGTGCAATAGTATAGTCTTTGTTTCATGAAAATCTGTTGCCAGTACCCGCTATGTGCAGTGCCAAGCCAAATTTCTTCAATGTTAGGTAAAGTGATATCTCTCTCTACAAGGATCCTGACAACAGAAGGTCTGGTGAGATTAAAAATGGGTATGTCTAATTTCATTGGTCTCCCAAGCATTGCCCCAATGGAATAAAGAACCTGATGGTTGAAAATATGCAATTTAAGTCCAGATAACTTAAACCATATTGGTACTGTAGGTGGTTCTTGGTTTGAATCAAATTGAGGAGACCACTTGAGCAACTTCATAGTTTTTTCTTCAATGATGAGGTATTTCTTGGAGAAAATCCTAGCATAGTCTTCGTCCGTGGTCAATTGTATCATCACATGTCTCTCATCAAAAAGTCCCACTTTCCATTGTCCTACAAGTATGAGATCCTCAAAAGTTTTGCGAATAACCTCCATTTTGGGTTGCCCTAACTGAAATTTCTCAATGAGTGTGAATTTGCATTTTTCAATCAGAGTAGAGACTTTGAGAGACTTCGAGGTCTGAAAAAATAAGAGTGAAAAAATAAGAGCGGCCTCACCACCCTTCCTACAAGTCCTCTTAACAAACGAACAATCGGCTGTTCCTTCAAGGAAATCATGATTGATTTGAGGAAACACCACATGGTCGACAACCTTCTCAGAGTCTAGATCCTTTCCAAGTGCCTCAACAAAAGATTCTTTGCCTAGGTACTGATTTGAGGGAAGAACACTGGGCCATCGAAAGCAACAGAGAAAAAATAGAGAATAAATGGGGAGCTGAATCCGAACTTTAGAAGGATCACGCTGCTGTCAAGCTGAGCGAGGAGAAAGACGAAGGAGGAGCCGATCTTGTCCTAGCTGAATGTTGAAGAAACGCAGGATGACACTGCTGTGAAGCTAAGTCGAGGAGGAAGACGAAGGAGGAGCCGATCGTGTCCTAGCTGAGTGTCGAAGAAACGACGAACAGGATCGCATTGCTGTCGAGCTGAGTCAAGGAGGAAGACGAACACACAAGCCCTTCCCGTTTTCCGTGAGAGGTGACGAAACTGCTCGACGCGAACCTCTACCCTTCTTCGAGCACGAGGAAGCAACGAACATAATAGTTTCTCACCGACGGGGTATTGAGGGCTACACGAGTCACCATGTCGCGACCAAAGTAAACCTGATTTGATCTGGTCTTGACTCGACAATCTCCATCAACAATCCAAAGATTTCAAATATATATAATATATTGTGTGAGAGGGCCCAAGCATGACACCCTACCCGCACGATAAACACTACATGCAAATGGTTTCAAAAAAAGAAAATACAGAAAAATACATTAGAGTAAAAAAAAAAAAAAAACCAAAAGTGTCAAAACACGTAGTATCAGGTAGCTAGAGAGTGACCCAATTTTGCCCTGCATCTGCATCTAGTTCTAGGAAAGGAGCCAGCTAACAATTTGGTAAGATGGGTGCCATTGCTAGTAGTAACCAATGTATCGTTCAATAAATTCCTGAGCTCGAGTCGGTCTCCATTCTTCTTCTTCCGAAGATTGACTCACTTGATCAGTGGATTGGTCTAAAGTGTGCCGGACATGTGTAGGTTGTTGAACATTAGAAGCAATTACTTGTTGTACTAGCTGATCTTTTATTGGATCAAAGAACACTCTTGTGTGTCTTAACATGCAAGTGAGTCTTCTTCAATAGCAGCGAGTGGTATAGACACGTTTGGATCTGTACTTGTAGTATGAGGAGATGCTTCATGGGAATCCAAAGTACCATGCTCCAAACCAATAGCTGGAATAAAGTGTTCAAAAGTAGGAGCATCCAGGGGTAGGACGACTTGGGTATTGTGTTCTTCATCAGGAACTGCCGTGTTGGAAATAAGGTCAGATTGCACCTTCTCAGCAGGGATGATAGGTGGCAAGACGTCTACCCCCAATCCAGTATGAAAAGATTTTTGAACAGGTTGCTGATTATTAACAATATCCGACCTTAGATGAGGATACAAGTGATAACAAATAGTAGAATTGTGGCCAAATATACTACAATGAGAGCAATAAGGAGGGTGTGGTTCTATTTTAACCTTTTGCCAATACCCGTTGTGAGTGGTTCCAATCCATACCTCATCCGGAGCTGGTTGAGTGATGTCTCTCTCAACAATCACACAAGCCACAGAGGGTTTGGTGATAGCAAGCGTAAGACTATCAACCTTGGGGGCTTACCGTAAGAGTTGCTAAGGAGTAGATAATTTTCAAGTTGAACAGATGTAGTTTTATGCCCAGAAACTTTATCAAAACAGGAATGATAGGAGACTCTATTTTAGGATCAAAATTGACAGTCCATTTCAGGATTTTCATAAAGTAGTTATCGATCTTGATAACTTTACAAGAAAAAATAAGAGTGTATTCCACATCGTAAGATAACTGAATAAATATATGTCTGTCGTCAAATAAGTCAATATTTCAACTGCCCAATAACTTCATAACATCAAAATCTTTCTGAATGATCATCTTTCTGAATGATCTCAAAATGATCTCAAGTTTTGGGTGACCATAAAGGAATTTCCCCACCAGAGCAAAACGCCAAGAAGACGCAAGAGTACTGGTTTCAACCTCAGCGAGAAAAAGAGCAGGTTTTCTATTTTTTTTACCAAACTTTTTAATGAAAGTGTGATCACCACCTCCTTCAAGAGCCTCGTGGAAGGATTGTGGAACATTTCAAGTCTTATCGATACCAAAACCAGACTCTGAACCTGAAAGAGAGTAGGAATAGGAAAGTCGCCGGCAAGGGCAGTGACATAGGAACGGAGCGTCGAGGCCATCTCCACAGGCAAGATGACCACAGTCAGATTCGAGCGGCTTGGCGAGCCACGAAAAAGAAGCGAGCAGACTTCGGGCGCACAACGAGACGAAATCTTCTGTCGGGCAAGAGGGTGACAGGCACGTCGTCAAGATAGTAGACGGCGTGCAAAAGAGCAGTCAGACGCCGTCGTCTACGGGTAAGGAGAGACGACTGCAAGTGAGCGTCGTCGACTGGAGAGACGACAGCGAGCGAGCGTCATCGACTGAGATTAGCGCATACGTGAAATTGTCGTCGTGGGAGACGACAGAAAGAAGGAGAGAAGCTGATAGATTCACCGTCGGGGATCGCCATCGAACGAAACTTTATGAGAGCCCGCAGCCGCTGTCGACGCCATCTATATATTTTGAAACTTACTAAACATATCTCATCAAAATTAGAAAAGGAAGTAATTTTAGATAAAAAATAGAAAAACATAAAATAGGAAGGGAATAAAGTAAATGAAATGTTTCTTAAGACATCCCAATTAAATCCTCCAAGATTTGGAGGTGGTGGCCGGTCCCCATGAGAGATGTAAATATGAAAAGAATCAAATCTTATGAGATTTCCACACATAATATTTTTAAAAAATAATCATATTTTAATCAAATATGTCAAATAAATCAAAACATAATAAAAAAAAGCAAAACTGAAAAATAGAAAATAAAAAACAAAAGCGATCCGAAATGGCTCTTAACTTTTACATAATTTTAAACCCAACAAGGCCTGACTATTTTATTACTGCCTCTAAAATTAAGAACAATCATATACTTTTTATCTGATGCCATTTTATTGTTTAGGTACAAGGCTAGCAGTAACTGTTCGTGGAGATGAGCGATATCATGAATTAGATATCCTAAAGAATGTTGTCGACGTCACTATGTTGCTACACTGTCTTCCATATGGTGAGGAGAAGGTTGGCAGGGTTCATGCTTCTCGGAGGTAAATGATAATTTCAAGGGAAATTCACGTATGTAGCGCACAGTTCTTATCTATTTACATATCTCACACCTAAGCTTACATAGTTACATACATGACACTTGGATACTTTAAACATGCATGTAAATTTGTATTTCACTTTTAAAAAGCAGTAATAATTTTTGATGTGATATTAAAGATTTGAGTACTATGTTTGTAAATATAATTGTTTAGGTGTTAGATATGTAAATAAATAAGAGTTGTGTGCCATGTATGTAAATGTCCCTAATTTCAAATATTGCTACCTGCTATCTGTGATAAATTGTAATAGCTGCTCTGTTTTCAATTTCAAATAGCAGTTCAGATGTGCAGTTTTTATTTTCTAACAATAAATACTTTTCGTTGTAATAACAGATTGTTTGAATATTTACAAGAAAACTCCCTGAACTTCCCTGTAATTCACCATTTACAGTTCCCAGATGGAACAGCGAGGTAATTTATTTGCAATATGAAAAAATTTTGGTCGGAATATTTAGATTCAAATTTGATTAGGATGAATTTTGAGATATGAATCATTGATTGCGCCATCATAATAATCTCAAAGTTAATTTAATGACTTTGAGACCTATTTTCTCTTGCTAAAAATTTTCCCCTTTGATATACTGGAACAAAGTCCAATAACCCCCTTCATTTTATTCGCAGAGATGACCTAGTAATTGGTTGTGGAAGCGAAGCTGGTACTTTATTGGTGGATGGTCTTGGCGATGGCATACTTATCGAGGCTCAAGGCCTTGATTTTGATTTTTTGAGAGATACATCTTTTAACTTGCTTCAAGGTTGCAGGATGCGCAATACAAAAACTGTAAGTTGCCGTGATCAAACTATATATTTGTGATGTTTACATGCATGCCACCTAATCCGCATGCATTTACATTTCTAGCACCTGAATGTTATTTTAACTTTTAATACCTCACACCATTTTAACCTTTAAAATGTGAAATACACCTTTTTATGCATAAGGTGGCATATGTGTGCAAATTGAATTTAATGTGTTATATATGTAAATACGTAGGAATTGAGTGGTATGTATGTAAGTCTTCTTTTATATTTTTATCATGAAAAGCTTAATGAAACTTTTGATATAGGAATATGTGTCATGCCCCTCTTGCGGGCGTACACTCTTCGACCTTCAAGATGTTAGTGCTCAGATAAGAGAGAGGACCTCCCATTTACCTGGTGTTTCTGTAAGTTGCAGTTCATATAAGCAACAGGGAAAAATTAAATCAATAGTTAGCTAAGTTTATTTTCTCTTATGGCAGATTGCTATCATGGGTTGCATTGTTAATGGGCCTGGGGAGATGGCTGATGCTGACTTTGGATATGTAGGTGGCGCTCCGGGAAAGATTGACCTTTATGTTGGAAAGGTAAGTTGATTTGTTTTTATGTCAATCAAATGAGCATAAGATTATGGGGCCTTTGCATATGTACCACCAATTCTTATGGATTTATATATCTAACACTTGAATTTTGTTTTTTACATATATACCCTGCAAATCCTATGTATCACATAAAAAATATCACCATTTTAACTTCTAAAAAAGGAAATACACTTTTTCATGCCATACGTAAGGTGTTTTGCTTGTAAAAATTGAAGTTTAGGTGAATATGTAAATACATTGGAGTTAAGCGGTATACTTGTAAATCTTGCTAAGATTACATATATAGAAACACACAGTCATATGTACACCCAAAAACAGTTTGCACGAATCTCAAGAAAATCTAACAACGAAGATGTGTGAAAAATCGGTTATGAATATAAAAAGACACCATAAAGACTTGTAAATCTCCTATTAAAATGAGATCATAAAAATGCACTATAAAGACTTGTAACTCTCCTTTTAAAGCAGATACCACAAAAAGACACCATAAAGACCTGCAACACCCATTAAAAAAGGACAAAGATCTAATTTTAGACTTGTAGCTCTTATTCCCTATAAATAGGGGAATTATACCACGTATAAGGAAGAGAGGGGTGTTTGGCTCTTTTCTCTAGACTCATCTTTTGTAAGTAGATATCCCTGCCCTTTTCTTGTAAAACAAATATTCTATATATACAATGGATCAAAGAGCCCAGAGATACCCCAGTTCGCCTCTATGGGGCAAGTCTATACGTGCTATTTTATTTCTTTTCCCTTATTTGTCTCTTTCTTCTCACTACGGGAAAAAGCCTGATTAGCTGGACATTTTCGATGATGATTGAGTTGTTTTTCGACGCTAATTCAGATTAGGGTCGTTTATTTTCCGACATTAAAACTGGCGTCGCTAATTTATTTTTCGTCAAAATTAGCGTTGAATTTTAATTTACGTCCGAATTAGCATCGAAAACAACTGTCTCCAAAAATATCATCAAACAAACAAACGACGCTGGTGTAACAATGCAATATCGTCAAAAAATCTACCGCTAATTAGCATCGAACAGGCGTCGAACATATCCAACGCTAATCAGCGTCAGATTTTTTTTAACGTTTTTTGCATCGTTTTAGTGGCGGCTTGCATCATTAGTTGATTGTATGTTTTACCATCGGAATTTTTTGACGCTAACCTATAAGAATAAAAAAAAATATCAAAATGATTAGATTTTCACATACCTGCATATAAAAAATATAATCAACATAATATAATATTTATCTATCATCACAACTCATAAAAGAAATCTTCAACTCAACATACACATAATGTAATGATACTGAATCAGATTAAAATATTCTTCACAACACAAGAAACTGAAAATTCGTACAATATAGAAATGAAAAAAACATAAAGTTAGCTTCTATGTCTGGGGAACATCATTAAACACAAAAAAAACCTAATCTTCATTTTTATCATCTTCCTGCTCCTTGTCCGAAAGCATGTGCCGCTTGCTTTGGCGATCAAAACTCTCCGTTAGGCGTGCTAGACTATTTGCAACAAGCTATTTACCTTCGTGCACTTGTTGGAGCTCTTCATTCATTATCGTCACATTCTTGAAAGCTCCTCATGCTGAGCCTGTAACGAGCTAGGGACCCCAACTGCTCGGAAATGCTCTGCCTCAAACGCCATCCCTTTTGCGGTGGATGACTTTCTGTCAAGCTCTCTGGCCTATATACATGATCAGATAAATATATGAGTCACATAATTACATAAATATGTAAGCTTTTGAATTTTCACAATCTTATCAACCTCCGTTAGTGCTCCGTGTGGGGATCAAACCTCCAATATGCAATATAGAGTGTGGCCCCTCTGGCTACCTCCATCGGTCGGTTCTACTGACTTGTCCGTCTCTTCCTCTGGTACTATGGATAGACCCATGCTCAGTTTAACTCAGCTCATACTTCCTCCCCAACCCATGAGGGCCTCTCCCCCTTCTTAGGCGCCGTCGTGAACATATCCTCGAGCCTATGCCTGACACAAATCTTAAAAATCTGTCAAATCTGCTGGTGATGTTCCGACAACTAGTAAAACAACCTTTGCAAATTAGAAAGTATGTAACATTGATTAGCATATAAAAAAATATAGAAATTAATTTTCTATTTCAAATTTAAATATCATACTTCGAACTCTCTAAAATATATATCCCAAGTGGCAATCGAGATTTGCTTCCTTGAGAGATATAGCTGATTATATCTATTTTAGATGATTTCTGTGATCCGCATCACGAGTGTCCTACATGGGTAGAATCTGTTGGTGAATTTAAAAGTTACTTCAACGTACGTATAATTTGAACCATTTTTTAATCTCTTCGATTTTTTTGCTTACAAGGTCATCATATACATTCAAGCTCTTCGTAAATAACTTGCGGACATCATTGTGATTTGTATGTCTGAGTTAATTGGTAAAACACTCCGTAAAAAAAATTTATTAGATTTAATCTTACTGTAGGAATGATTGCAATTTGTCGTAGTTCAGTAAAATATACAAAGTAGCTGCAAGCTCTCCATCGTTTAGGTAGCGTGTACCATGCTTACCTAATGATTCACCAGATATCTGGAATACCGATATTTTTGTTTGCAAAGACATTTGACCAACTTTTTTATGCATACGTTGGCCGTTGCCCTTGATTGAAGTAATAAGAACATAAGTAATTCTCCTGTAATATGTATGCCTCGCATATCCAACCTTCAGGACGTGCTTTATTCTTAAGTGTCTTTTTTATTTTATTCAGAAATCTGCACAATTTAGTCATTTTAGAAAAAAATAAGATAATATTTTACTTTAAAATAAAAAGACATACCTCTCAAAGGGATACATTCACCTATACTGCACCGGTTCCCTCAGTATAGTTTCATTATACATATGAATGAACATATACTTCATTGAGTCAAAAAAGTCTGGAGGAAATATTTGCTCGAGCTTGCACAACAATAGTGAAATAATCACGTCAAAACTTTGCGGAGAATGAACATCCAAAGTTCCTGTTCACAACTCTTTGAAGAATGTACTGATTTCAATCAATGGATCGAGTATCAACTTTGGCAAATTATTGAATGCAATAGGTAATAAACTCTGCATGGAACTACAACAATTATGACTCTTCATGCCAAATAATTTCTTTGCCCCCATATCAAACTTCAAGGAATGCAACCACCTGAAGGTTGTTTTTCGTTGATCCGATGTGGGACAATATGTAGTTTTGAGTTTTATTACTTTACCTGCATTTGTTTCTTGCAGTTCTGACCCTCCTCTTGCAATACTCTTTTAGTTTTATTCTTGCTTTGACATTGTTCTTTGTTTTTCCCTTAATATCAAGAACAATATTAAATATATTATCAAAATTTTTTTTCTTAATATGAATAACATCCATATTATGATTAATCAGATTGATTTTCCAGTATGAAATATTTTAAAACTGCTCCGCTTCATGCAATTATGTGTAACACCATAATCTGGAAGATGACTTGAGGTTAATTATGGTCTCTCAGTGATCTTTAGAACTTCACTGATCATTTGCAGTATATCATCTTCGCTAATCTTTAGGGGTGGACTTGATCTTTCAACTATAGTTATGAAAAATGCATCTTTTTTCCTCCAAGATTAGTGAATCAAACCAAGAATTTTTTTTTCATGCTTCAAAGTGAATGCTTTAAGCATGTCTATGCAGTAGGGACATGGCAATTTCCCGACTGTGTTCCAACCAGATAGCATCCCATAAGCAGGGGAATCACTGATCGTCCACATAAGAGCATCTCTGAGGTAAAAGTTTTGTTTTGTTGCAATATCATAAGTCAACACGCCGGTTTTACTCTTTGGGCTATGTGGACCTGGTATGATCAAACCTAGAAATAAGAACGATACAATTATACATATATCATGAGACAAATTATATGACATGATAATAATTGGTCAACAAGAGTAGGGTGTTGCAACATGATTGTATGGTGTGAACCTATCTGTATATAAACCAAACCAGACGTTGTGTGGTTCTGCTGCAAAATTCGGATAACCGCGGTCGAAGTGTTTCCAAGCTTCACCAGCTAAGGGATGAGTCATTGTATTATCATTAATAGATCCGGTCTTATGCCATGTCATGTGGGGAGCTGTGCACATAGAAACAAGCAGTTGTTGGAGCCGTGGAATGATAAAAAAATAAAAGAGACGTTTGTAAGGAATATACTTCTGGGTTTTACTTTCTCCCCCTTGGTTTGAATCTATCAACACTACAAAATCTAAATTTTGTCTCTTGTGCATTCTCCTTTTAAGATAAAATACATCTGTTGATGCAACAATCTATCTTTTTCAGATAGTAGCCCCAACTTCTCCGCTAACTTTTTAGTTCCGTACAATTCTTCTGGAACTAAATTATCAGTAAGGTTTGTCTTCTTTAATAATATTGCTACCTGATTGAAGCATTCTCTTGGCAATGCTAAAATCAGATTTGATACTCGACATTCTTAGGGTGACTGTTAACTTTATGTGCGAAGTGCATCATTTCAACAGTGATTGTTGGACAACATTTAATAGCTCATAAAAATGTTGTGCTTCACTGTTCGGTCCCGTCATCATCAGATACACTTTGAACAAATGAGCCCTGATCGCATGATCAATCATTTGCTCATACATGCTAGAATCGTAAACAGTTGGCGGGGCATAACTTGACCGTTTTGAACATCAGGTTCAAATTCACCTTGTGAAGTTTAATTCCAATAATCATGTTTAATTCATCTACGATATAGTTTCAACTTTACTTCGTTAAGTGTCGGGTACGCTTGATTTTTGTGCTTTGCACAGGGACATCAGAACCTACCTTCTGAGAGCTGAACGCGCAACTGAGATGCCACATGCACAAACTCTTCAACATCAGCAATAAACTTGTCAGTTATTCCTTTTATTCTTGGATATAATCTGTTATACATCCACAATCTAACACTTTGAATATCGATCTGTACCATAAATGCAGCTATATAGATTAGTGCACCTACACATTACATAGCCTACTTGAAACCTTAGGCCGCCTATACATGATACTCAAAATCTATAGCCCACAAATCCAGAGAAAATCAACACTAGTATAACTCCACCATAAACTTACATATCACAAATTTCTTATGCATTTACAGTCTCACACATAAATTTCGCATTTACGTACATAGCGCAAATTTCTTATGGATTTACATATTTCACATCTAAATTTTCATATTTACGCACATAGCAAAAATTTCTTATGTATTTCCATTTATATCTCACACCTAAATTTTCATATTTACACACATAACATAAATTACTTATGTATTTTACATATCTCACACCTAAATTTTTATATTTACATACATAACACAAATTTTTTATGTATTTATATATCTCACTCCTAATTTTTCATAATTACATACATTGCACAAAATTTCCTTTTTATTTACATTTCTCACACCTATAACTCATATTTGCATACATAGAACAAATTTCTTATGGAGTTACAAATCTCACACCTAAATTTTCATATTTACATACATAGCACAAATTTCTTATGGATTTACATATCTCGCATCTAAATTTTCATATTTACATATATATCACAAATTTCTAATGCATTCACATATCTCACACCTAAATTTCATATTTATATATATACCATAATTTTCTTATGCGTTTACATATTTCACATCAAAATACATGGCATATATCTCTTATTTATTTACATATCTCATACCTAAATTTAGGGAAAACCATAAAATCTATATGCATTCCATACCCAATAATGTAATACGAAAAAAACTTAGCAAAACTTATATATTTTCGGATCTAATACCTATGCAAGTAAAAAAAAAAAAGATGAAAATTTATGCTAAACCAAAGCGTGAAGACGTGGGAGAAGATTTCTCACTTTGGACGGGGTTGGAGTGGCAAAATAGAGTTGGATTCGTCGGAGAAGCTTAGGAGGCGACGAAATGAAGTAGAAGGAGAAAGAGCACGTGAAGTAGAGTTGTGGTTTGCTAGAGATCTATTTTAGGGCTCTAGCGTTAAATTTAGCGTCGGTCATAGCAAGCGCAAATAAGTGAGTTTGGCGTCGGGCATAGCAGACGCTAATTCAACACTGTAGCGTCGGGTTATCGACCTCTGTTCGACGCAACTCACTTGCTCGTTTCTTCTGATTTTGGGACCGCACGGTGACGCCAACAGACGCTAATCCGTCGTTACTTTTGCTTCAGAAATATTTCCGATGCTAATTCGAACACTAATTAACAGTTTTTCTATAGTGTTTTCTACCTCAAGACCCCCACCGCTTCGATACTTGGGCATTCATCACAAGATAAATTTGATTTTAACAATATAAATAAATATATATATATATATATATATATATATATAAGCTTATATATAAAAATAATGGCGTCGGTGGTGAGATCGAGCTGCTCCGCTAGGGTTTCGCCCAATGACGATTCCTTGGCTTGATCGTGCTCGAAAACGAGCTGCGTTCGTCGACTCCTTCATCGTCGTCACGTCTCGCTGCTTCTGTGGACGTCGAGCTGCGAGCCGCGTCGAGCCGCGATCGTCTTTTCGTCTGCGTGGTCGTCCCGACCTTTCGGTCCTCGTGGTCGTCTCGTCTGCGCGTTCGGCCTGACATTTCAGCTCGTCTTCGTCGTCTCGTCTGCGTGGTTCTCCTCTCGCTCTTGTTTGCTGCAACTGCCTCATCGAGCTGCAAGTTCTGCGGCTTCGACAATTGCTGGGCAGAGCTTTTTTGCTTTGATTTCTGTGATTTGCTGTGACGGAGCTTCCTTCGTCTACGGTTGAACTTGGCAAAATCTTCTTTGCCCACGTGGTGGGTAATTCTCAGAGGGAGACGACGCTTCACCTCAAGTTATAAGAAGCAACGAGAAGGTGATTGCCCCTTTATCAAGATTGCAAGCAGGAAAAGTGAGAAAATAACATTTTTTTTCTGTGAGCTAGAAATTTCATCCCTTACTGATAAATTCAAGTTTGTTCTTATTGGAAAATTTTAGTGGGGACATCCACCTATGGACGTTATCAGGAAAAGTTTTGATGATCTCAAATTAGCAGGAAAGTGAAAAGTAGGGCTCATAGATGGGAGACACGTATTAATTCAACTAACCGTGCCTGAAGACTACTCTGAGATTTTTTCCAAAAAATATCTCAACATTGTTGGTAAACCAATGAAGCTATTCAAGTGGCCCTCTGATTTTGACCCCAAGCGTGAATCTCCTACTGTACTGGTATGATTTAGTCTATCTAATCTTAAGCTGCACTTTTTTCACCATCAGGTTCTTTACTCTATTGGTGCTATACTTGGGGACCATTTGAAGCTAGATCTACCCACTTTTAACCTAGCCAGACCTTCTGTAGCTAAAATACTTGTTGAAAAAGATATTACTTTACCTGATGTTACTGAAGTTTGGTTGGGCACAACTCACAATGGATATTGACAACAAATTGTTATGGAGCATAGACCTTCTTATTGTTCTCATTGTATGATGTTTGGGCACAATCTTGATAAATGCTATAAGCTTCACCCTAATTTGAAATCTAAATATCAAGTGAAAGATTTTGAAATCTAAAGATCAAGTGAATAAGAATGGATCTGACCCCACTGCTTTGGATATATCTGTTTCATCTGAAGAGAAAACTACCACAGAATAGGTTATGGTGTCTGAGTTAATCGCCCCTGTGAATCCTCCATCTAAAAATACTATTTCTGCGATCGATGAGAAGCTGGATGACCCTGCTGAGCAACCTACACTTTCAAACCCTACTCAGCTGCAGGAAGCATTAGGTGAAGATGAGACATTTCATGTTTCACACACACTTGAACTCACAGTTGTTGCAACAGTTGACAATCCTTCTTCTGGTGTTCATTAGCTTTTATCTGTCCGACGTTCTGTTTACCAACATGATGATTGAATGAGCAGTTTTCTGAGGAGGAATGACAGGTCTATTCAAGGAAGAAGAAGAAGATTGGAGGCAAGCTTCAACTTGAGAACCTAATAAATGATACTTTGGTTACTTCGGGAAATGACTCAGCACTCAACAATTTGTTATCTGGATCTCGCCTTAGAACTAGAGTCAGAGGCATGACTAAACAGACTCGTCACTATCTACTCTTTTCTGCGATTTTGGTACCTTTTTTTTGGGTTTTTCTGTATCTTTTCTCTTTTTGGGTGTTTGTGTGTTTTGTATTGTATGGGTAGGGTGCCTCTATTGGGCCCTCTCATACAACTTTTATGTACCTTTCCTATTTTAATAGATTTATTCTTTGGGCTTCTCAAAAAAAAAAAAAAAAAAAAAAAAAATATATATAAATATAAAAAATAGCTATCTCTGTTTATAGAAGTTTTATTATATGAGTAATTTATCTTATATTTTAATAAAGTACTTTATATGATAAAAATTGATTATATTAGTCCAGAATTCTATATTTTGTAAATTTTATATTTGCATATATATTATACCATTAATTATTAAAATTTGACGCGATTCTATTTTATTTTGAGATACTTTTTGTGAGTTTAGCTTTACTATTCTCTTAAATAAATTCTTAAGCATGAACTATTAGAAATTTTTTTTTTCAGGACCTTCAGAAGTAGCGGTGGTTAATAGCCGTTTTTGTTGGTAGCATGTGCCATTAATCAAGTGTTTTGAAAACCACATTGCAACTTTATTCTCCATATATTTTACATAAATATCTTCAAAATTACTGTACATGTCTTAATTTTTCTGTTCTCTATATCAAAATCAGAAAATTATATCATGATAATAGTTTTTTTTCCCAGCATAGTTTATATAAATATTGTCAAAAATATTTCTTGGCTTCAAAATTACTGTAAATGTCTTTTCTTATCTTCAAATAAAACAAATGAATTAATCAATCATGTGATTTAGATGATGATCAATACACCTGTTGTGTCACTAGCTTATTGCTTCTACATGATATTTGGAAGATTTACATACAAACCACTCAATTCCTATGCATTCACATATCACATATCTGACACCTAAATTTTAATTCTGACATTCATGCCACCTTTTCTATGCATGATTTCTGCTTTTGTAAGTTAAAATAATGATATTTTTGATGTGATATGAAAGATATAGCCCACATAAATGTAAAAAGTAAAGCTTGTCGGTGTAACATATGTAAATATATATGCAAACGCACCATGATAATTTAGATTTGACGACGCACGTCTTGCTCTCAGACCGTTGTAAAGAGAGGAATCGCCATGGAAGGTGCAACTGAAGCCTTGATACAGCTCATTAAAGACCACGGTCGTTGGGTGGATCCGCCTGCAGAAGAATAGAAATTCTTCCAGTCGAATCGCACTCCTGCTACAGAAGAATTACATGCCATTATTTCTTAACGCTGTTATTATACAATGCAGAATCCGGTTGTCATATTCATATGTTTTACAATCATGAATAATGTGTAAATAAATAAAGCCGTGCATGAGTTAATATGAAGTGTAGGTAACATGTTATATATCAGCATGCTTGTATGTCAAATGAATATGATTATAATCATGGTACAGTCGCGCCGAATATTATGGAGTAAGACTTTGCTTTTGTTTGGCTCATTAAATAAATATGTTCATTGAAATCAGCCAAAGGTTAGTTAATTATTATGTGCATATAGTTGTATGATGAGTTTTTTTTTCCCTTAATTTATTTAATGATTTATTAGCATACCTAGCACCCAATTCATATGTATTAACATATCAACCACATAAATCTAAATTTTTACATACAAATCACCCAAATTATGTTGAAAATATAGGAATCGAGTGGTCTGTATGCAAAAATTTAAGTTTGGGTGGTTGATATGTTAATACGTAGGATATAAAAGACCTAGTTACTGTCGAACCGGCACGAATGAGTGCACGGTTTTCTATCGGGGAAGACGAAAAATGAGAAAGAGTAGTTGTAAATTAGGAAAAAAATATTATGTGCGGGACAACTCATGCACATAATATTATCTCGTGGATTAGATGCTTGAAAACCAAATACAAACTAGTCAAACATGAAGGAATTACATTTTAATGATAAGGCAAGCTTAAAAGTTTCAACTAGTGTTTATAAATGAGAAATTATATATTTATTTTACAATAATTTTGGCTGTGATTTTGATAGGGAGATAAAAGAGGAGCAAATACAATTTGATATTTGAAGAAGAAAGAGGAAGAAATCATTTAGATAATTTATAAATTTTAAAATGAAAGCATTTAAATAAATGTAAAGATTAAAAAAATATAATTTATTGATAAATAGTGATAATTTTAAATTTAAAATTTATATAAACATATCCATGCAAATAATAATAAGGAAAAAATATTTGTCACTTAATTTATATATAAATAATTTATAATTTCTTTTACTTATGTGTTACTAATTATAAATATAATCAGAGTTCAATGAAAAAAATTAAATTGATTAAAATTAATTTTAGAAATATTTATACACATATCACACAATACTTATATATTTATATATCTAATACTTAAAATTTAATTTTTATATATATCCCACTTTATCTATGTAATTAACTTCTTACTAATATGATAATATTTTTGTAATATAATATGTAATATGAAATATTTGAGTTAGATAAAGTTTTATATTGGAGTGAGAATTTGAAAAATGGATGAAAGCGGGTGCTTGATTTGTAAATACTAGAAAGTAACGTGTCGGGTGCACTGTCTTGCCTCCCCCTTTCTATTTTGTCTACCAAACGCCGCCATTCTCGCGGCCGCACTTGTCTTCATCCTGCGGTCATCAAGTCGCAGATTCTCTGGATTCGATTCTCCTTTTCTTTTCGTGAACGAAACCAGCTTCCTCAAAGCCAAATCTTTTTACCGGCAATAAGTTTACTGCTTGGGTGAACTTCGTTTTCTCGCCTGTCATCTCGGAGATGTCGAGCTCCGCGGTATATTGGGTGAATGCTTGGAGCGTACCTATGGCCGGTCTCCAGCGTTCTTCGCGCGTGGGACTTTCATTGCCAGGCCGCAGGAGTTGGCGTTCATGTTCATCTTGGAGGAAGATTCTTGGTGCCTCCATGGCGCTTCCGATGAATTTCGGGGACGGCCTTGCTTCCCTAGAAAGCAATGTAACGATCTCAAATGGGCCCTTTTATTTATGCTAATTTCCCTTTTTTTCTTCTGTTTTTTGCGTTGGGAATTGGTTTTTTAGCCTTATTCGTAAATTATGGTTAGTTGATGTTGTACTAAATGGCTGCTAACTGTTGCTTAAACTTTAAAAGTATAGGGAATGAAATGTTGAGAAAAGGAACCTTTGATTTTGTGCTTGCTTTATGTTGTATGCCTCATGAAAACTTGCTGAAGTTAGTCTTTTCTATGCCCTCAGAGATCACTCTTCAGCATAACCTTTTTGTATATGGCTTTGAGCTAAAAATGAAATTGCTGCTGAAAAAAAAAAAAAAAACCCAGCATACTTTATACTTCATGCCTTCTGAAGTTGGACTTTTGCGCTCCTTTCAAGAGTATTTTTGTTGTGTTTCCCAAGCCTAAAGTGCCTAGCATACATTTTTGTAATACTTCTTTCTGTTTTCTTAAGTAGTCCATATTTGCATAAGATTTCTCAAGCCTGAAGTTTACTTCATTAATATTCAATTCAAGTATGGGTGTAAACGAACCGAACACGAACGAACAGAGCTTGTGTTCGTGTTCGGTTCGTTTGAAATTTAGTTTGTTTGAAATAAACTTGTGGTCGAAATTGTTCGTGAAGTCACTGTTCGTGTTCGTTGTTGAACGACAGAGCCGGACACGAGCGGTTTGTGAACGACGAGTCGGTTTGACATCTCTAATATTAATATATATAAATAATATATTATATTAATTATATAACTTAAATTATATAAATATATAATATTTATATTAGTATATTACTAATATAGTATATTAATATATTATTATTATTAATTTATTATATATTATAATTTATAAAATTTAATTTTTTATATATAATTATTTTAAATTATTTTATATTTTGAACAATAACGATTCGAACACGAACGCATCACTGTTCGTGTTTAGTTCGTTTAACTAACCGGACGAAAAAAAATTGTTCACGTTCGTCTCGTTTACTTATCGAACGAATCGAACACTAACTCATTGACAAACTGAACACCAACTATTCGCGAACAACGAGCTTTTTTGACAGCCCTAAATTCAACCATAAGAGCGTGTTCTTTTGGTCATGAACTTGACTTTGATAATGGCTTCCTTTTTTCATGCATTTCTAGAAGAGAGTGAAGCTTTAGGAGAGTAAGAGAAATAGGAAGGAAACCAGAGAAGTAAAGCCATGCTGTAGATTATACCTGCTCTCACAGAATAAATGGTGCATTAGATGTAATATATGTGTATACTAAAGCAGTAGGGACAAATAGAATATATGTACATCCTGTAGATTTTGTTGTGGATGAAAGACCTTGATGATTTATCCTTTGTGATGAATTAGCTTGTGCAGTCGGAGTAGTTTAGTGAACAAATCAGTGAGTTGATCCTGAGAGTGTAGATGATGAATGATGATGTCATGAGCTTTAATACAGTCACAAATAAAATGGTGGTTGATCTCGTTGTGTTTTGTGTGAGCATGGAAGACTAGATTGTTGGCGAAAGCAAGTGCCGATATGTTTTCATAGTAGAGAGGGATGGTTAGATGAATTGGCACATGAAAATCTTGAAGTAGGCGATGAATCCATGTAACTTCATTGGTACTGCTGCAAGAGCTCCATATTCTACTTTTGTGGATGAACGAGTGAACGATGTGTTGGCTTAGGAGATTAAGTTGAATTGGTGGTAGATTTGCGGTCTATGAAGTCTATTGCCCTATCGGAATCGGAGTAGCATGTAGGCATGAAGTTGAAGATTAGTAGCAGTGACGGTGAGGCAGATTTGTGGTGGATTTGAGATAACAAAGTAATTGTTTGAGGCATTGATTATGAGATTGAAGTGGGTTATGCATATGTTTAGACAACTAGTCGATAGAAAAGGAGAGATAGGTACGAGTAATTGCTTGGTATTGAAGAGAGAAAAACGGTGGCGATTTTGGTGAGGATTTGGGAGACCATTATATAGAGTAGATGACAAGGGTGTTTTTGTTGGAGTTGGTGCATGTAATGGTTTGCAAGAAATCGTTCCAGCATGGCTTAGTATGCCCACGACATATGCATGATAAGACAGATGAGGCCATTAGGCATTCGAGGGATCTGTATGCTAAGTAGTGGGATATTTCACTAAGATTGCACTTGCGAAGATGTTGTTGGAGGGTGGAAATTATAATGCTTATGAGGGTGGGGTTATTTCCAGTGATTAGAAGATCATCAACGTAGATGAGGATGAAGAGGTGGGTAGTGTTGCAAGTGTGCAAAAGTATTGGAGGTCGATTGAACTATAGTGGAATCCATGGTTACGGAGATGCTGAATAAGAGTGGCATGCCATTGTGTCGACATTTTGTTTGATGAGTAGATGGAGGGACAAGTGTCTAGCTCCCTTGGGTTTGAAGAATTTAAAATTCCTTGGACATTGCTTTGTGCCAACATTCATGTTTAACTACTATAGATTAGCAGGAAGGAGCTGCTGGTAGAGTGATTATATGAGCTGGATCAGGAAGTTTTTTGGGCAAAAAGATGCCTGATTTGTAGCCTGTGAAATGGGATGTGTGGAGGGATGGATTGGTGATTTGTGGGAGAAGATTGATTTTAGTGCTGAAGGAAAGGATGATTCTTGAGGAGCTTAGCGAGGAGGAACAATTGGGGCAGTTTGGGGTGAGGAGATGTTGAGGAAAGTCTTGTTAGATGTAGAGAAATTTGATGCTTGGAAAATTTAGAAGAGGTATGTATTTGGAGAGGGGATGATTGCTTACAATGGATGTAGGATAACGATAGGGGGTCCTCGTTGAAAATAATATGCATCAATAAGTATAGTTAACTGGTGGGTGAGTGATAACATTTGTAGCCTTCGTATTTATAGTCAAGATTGATACATTGAATGAAAGTTGGGGAGAGTTTATTGGTTATTGTTGTGATAGCATTTGTAGCCTTGTATTTGGGGCTTAGGGGTGTAATCGCATACAACAAGAGCAACCAAAGATCTTCAGGTGAGTATAATCTGGAGGTTTGTTGTATAGAATTAATATGGAGGAATATGGTTTGTAGTAGGGGATGGAAGTTGATTAATGAGATGATGCAATAAAGAGAGCGTCTACCCAGAGAGAATGTGGTAGATCTTTAATTGTGCAAGTAATTTTGAGTATATGACAATGCTTTTGTTCATCGATTCCATTTTGCTTGGAAGTGTAAGTGCTGATTTGGTGAGAGATATCACATTGTCTTAGTAAATATTGAAAAGTAGAGTTGCTATATCCGTCACCTCCATTAGACTGAGTGTTTTGATCTTATTGTTTAATGATGTTCGACAAAGGTTCTGAAGTTTATAAATGTTGAATTTACATTAAATTTATGTTTCATTGGAAAAACCAATAAAAGTGAGAAATTATTAATAAATGAACACAATATCTTAAACCTTGATTAGGAAAGTGGGGGATGGATCTTATATATTCATGTGAATACCATGCAATGGGGCAGGACATCATGTTACTGAGATTGGAAATGAGAGTTTGACTTTAAGTAGAATGGCAGTGAAAACATGTAAATTTTGTTTTTGAAATACATATAAGAGGAACATATTTAGCTGGAAGAATAATGGAATGATGAAGATGATCCGAGCGGTAATGCCATTTGGTGGTAGCAGTGTCTTGAGGAGCGCAACGTTAGGAATGCAATCCATGGAGCGGGGATGGCACTTGATGTGGTATAAGCCTTTTCGGGCTACTTCGAAGAGAAGTGTTTGATTGGAGTTCTGATCCTTGATGAGGTAGCCATCCGAGTTAGTTGTAACAAAATGATGATTATTATGAGTTAATTTGTTAATTGATATGAGATTGTGAGATAAGTTGGGGACATGAGAATTGAGCTGACTTTAAGCCTGTCGGATGGTGTTGGTAGGAAGCCTTTACTAGTGTGAACGATAGGGAGCCGTTGGTCATTTCCAATGGTTATTTGTTGAGAAACAGTGTGCGGTGTGGGACTGGAGAGATTATTGATGTCATAAGTTAAGCGAGATGAGGCACTCTAGTCAAGAGAGTAGTTAAGGAGTCAAGAGGCAACTCAAGATTGGGTTCGTATTAGAGATAAGTATGATGGCAATATTTTGCTGCAGAGTGATACATCTTGTTACAGATTTGACATTTTATTCAAGGTTGATTAGATTTGGCTGTTCATAATTAGAATTGGCGCTGGTAGATTGACTGTTGCTTGAGTATTGATCTCATTTATGGCTGTTGTGAGTGTAGCGACATCTGGTTTTGATAGGAGAAGCAGTGAGAGCTGAATGGGTGTCCTGATGCATGATTGAGTATGGAGAGATGCTTTAGTTGCCAGATTGGTTACTTTATAATAGAGCAGGGAGTATAAATCATCCAGATAATGGGTTGGAGATTACTGTGAATGGTGGTTTTGAAGGCATTGTAGTTTGGGGGTAAACCGTTCAGTCTATAGAGGATAATGTCTTTAAGATCAAGAGGTGTGCCAGCTGCTGCAATGGTGTTGACTTTTGCCTTAATTTTGCAAGATATTATGTCATTCTTTTGTCTTTGCATAAACATGTGTGAAGTTCATTCTTGCGCTGAAGGATGGGAGAGTGATTGCTGAATTGAAGATGTTCATTGAGGGTGGTCCAGATATCATTACAGGTGTCTAAATTGAGGAATGTAAGTTAATAGAGACGGAGAAATGCAGGAGGAAAAGGCAGCTAGTAGATTTTGATCTTCTAGCTTCCAGGTTGTCTATTGGGGATTGAACGGTACAGAGCTGTGGTGTAGATATTTGGCTGGTTTTCCATATTGAACCATCCATATAACCCTCAAAACTATTAATTCAGAAATATTTTAAATTTAAAACTCCATGTGAGATAGTTTTCAGTGGTGACTTGAGTGGAAATGATGCTTTTTATATTTCACAATAGAAATTTCAGTTGAGTGGAGATGATGCTTTTGATATTTGACATTAGAAATTCCATCTCCTTGCAAGAGAACTACAAGAATTGCATATAGTTTTCTGTTCCCATCTTTTATGCAATTTCAAGTAACAGTGAAGATTATTAACATTTTTCTATTGATGTCTTACTTCATTGAAAATTTTTTATCCTGTTATAAGGAAATTTCTAGCCTAGTATAACTATCGTATTTTAAGTATACTGATAGTGTAATGAATCTGTTCGCTAACCAGATTTGTATCATTCTATCACATAGTTAACATTGTTTTACTTGCTTTCTTCTAGATGATTTCATCCTATTTAACTTCTAATACTTGAGAGACTACATTAGCAGTTGATCCAGTGAATTGAGATAAAGAGATCAGTGATCCTCGTAGCAGCGAATTCAATGTTTGTGCTGAATTTCTTGTTAAAAATTGTCCTTCATTCTTTTTTCAGTATTATCAATTGTCCTTTCTCTGTTTCTTTCCCGCCTTCCTTTCTTTTCTTCCCTTTCTCCTTAATCAACAATCAAAATCCATTTGATGCCTAGATAAAAAAATTTCTACTTTTTTTAGTGCTTACTCTATTTAATAATACAATTCTTCCACTTCTTCTCAATATTTTAACTTCTAACCATTCATACCATCCCTACTAACTATATAAAATTCCCAATGCTTATTATTTTGGCACATATTTAGTCATAATCAGAACAAAGTTTGTTGAGGTCTTTCAGTTCGGGATTCAAAACTTTCGTGGTGAATATAATAAATTAATGAAGGTAGGACACTGTAACACTGTTGCTTCACATTAAACTAAGAATAATTTCAAGTGCAGATATTTATCCATGACAGATTGCATAGAAATGCTCAAGTGTAAACTTAATTATCTAATGTTAGTTATTTTGTGCTTTATGTTTTTAATTTGGTTTGCGCAAAATGTTTATGAAATGCTTTTTATATCTATAATGTGTTCTGAAGGTGTGTTGATCATGTTTTCAGAGCTCGCATGTTGTTGAGAACCCAGATGAAGGTACAAATGTCAATGATGAAATAACCAACATTCTTATTGAGTGTAGAGATGTTCACAAATCATTTGGAGGGAAGCAGATTTTAAGAGGTTTGAGCTTTAAGGTGATTCTTTTGATTGCTGATATTTTGTATTATTACCATCATTTCCTTGAACTTTAATGTAGAGATATAGTGAATAAGAGTTAAAACCATAAGAGTTGTTATTTACAATTATATGGTTTACTAAGAACGAAGAAGAAAATAGTTTGTTTCCCTTATCTATATTTTCTTATTAATGGTTAAGTACTTGATTATATTTCTGTTACATGATGCTTGATAGATAACTAAATGATTGTGCAAAGATATAACTTTAAATGAAGAAGTTATTTTCATGTTTTAGGTGAAGTTGAACGATTCATCTATTTTTTATAGGTCATAGATGACAAGCAAGCACTGACGCAAAATAAATTATATATTAAATTTGAATTTTGTTTGATGGGTGTGCGGACATATTGTTTGTTGTAAATGCATATCAGTGAATCTTCAAAGTAAACGCAATGACAAAATGGTCAAGGCCTACTAATATATCTTAAGTTGGGAGTTTTCTAGGTATGAGATAATATTTTCAAAAAGTTTTTGATAGACTTCTGTGACAGACAACTATGAATTTTCTTCTTTATTTACACACAAGGCAATTTTGTTTGGGTGGACTGTTGAATGTTAAGAAACTTTCAAAAAAATGAGAGTGCTTTATTTTACCATCTATATTAATTATTTTCTTATTAATTTGAAGATTTTTATATTTATAGTGATGATTCAGTTTAGAGGTTTGGGGTTTTTATGGATGAAATATTGTAAGATGATTGCATATACCTATAGATAGTTGAAATCACATTAGAAAAATTATTCAATATATAATCTTGATTCCTAGTTTCAATTGTATTTGCATTGAAGATATGGTGAAATTTGTTATATAGAATTAGATGTGAGGAGTATACATATCATCAAAGTTTTAAGTACCACTTTAATTTGGGGCAAAGAAGATCACTATAATTAATTAAGGGTTATGATTTGGGTATTTAGCATCAATATGGTAAAGCTAATTTGGTTGACTGATGGATTGAGCGGAGGGTCTATTGGTGTTTAGGACAATTGATCGCTAAGTTGGTATATAGAAGTTAGAGTTGAAAGTGATGGGATTAGATAACGAGCATGTAAGCCAGTTGATTTAGATTATTGTGAAATCTTTGGAAGGGACTGTATGCTTGGTGTACTTTTGAGTGGGTCCCCAAAGGCATCTTTGAAGGAACTCTCTAAGTATGCTCCTAAACAGGATCCAAAAGGGCATTTTGATCGAAATATTTCCTAATGGACATCTGTGAAATTGTTTATAATAATTTCGAGTTGATTTAACAGAGCGTGTCCTTTTCTATAGCTTTGATGCTCATGCAGACATAGAATTAAGAACTGTGATGCCAGAAGTATATCAACCTATGGGCTGATAATAAAATATTTATAATGCCAGGATCATCTAAACCTTCTTCAATGCTCAAGCAAGACACACTCAATAATGCTGATATTGGAAAATGGGGGGTTGAAAAAGATTCAACGAGACCAACCAAAGAAGCAATCTGAGATCGTAAAAAAAGAAAGCAGCCAGAATAATTATGAGATGCACTAATCAAATTAAAGATACAAGAGTTTCTGATACCAGAGTCAACCGTTGGGAAAATAGAATTTTATTACTTAAGCAACAACATTTTTCAATCAAGACTCAAAACAACATATAAATCAACAAAAACACTAATATCCAACTAGAGCCGGATAGGATGTTCCTTGGACAGCGGTGAGAAGGATTCTAGATAGGTGGCAACAGACTAGAGGGGGTGTTTTGGTGGCAGTAGGGGTGATCGAGGAGTTGTGGCTGCAACTGGATGCAGGTAGCAGGAGTTGCGGCTCTACAGGAGAATAGGAGATGGCTGACGATTGGTTGGGAGGCAAAGGAGAGGGCTGGTGACATCGCAAGTTTGATGGGAAGGGCTTGCGACCCAATAAGAAAGCTGGGGCTAGGGAGGGGGGACTGCTATGATGGGAGAGAGGTTAGCGGTATAGCAGGAAAAGTAGATGAGTATATTGAGAACAGGTTGGAGGCGGGTGGAGTTTGCGATGGCAATAGGGAAGAATTTCTAAGGATGGTGATCGAAAAATAGGAACAAGAAGGTGCACAAGGTGGATGACAACGAGCAAGTGAGGGGAATAAGGAAAGATACATACCAACTCGGGACAAGGTACAACCCAAGCACTTTTTGCCGTCGAATACAACTCTAGAAGAAAATGACGATGCCGGCGGTTGTCCTGACAGAAAGACTCAGCAAAAACTAATCCTAAACAAATAAAACGACTTATTTATAATAGTAAATAAGGAGGGGGAGGCCCCTCCCTTGGGTGGTAAAACCAGTCCTCTTAGACCGGCTGACCAATGCAGCACCAAGAATGAAACAAATTTGTGCTCTCCAACCATTTCAGCCCTCCCAAGCTCCGCGTCAATTTTCTATTCTCGCAACCAATCGAGATACATAAATCACCACCCAAAAGATGGACGAAGGAGACCTGAGATGTCACTACCAACAACGAAGGGATTACAGTCGCCACCATCCAACACTCTGGATACATACTCATTCCAATTTGGGAATCACAAAGGGAGCAAAGTCCCTCACAAAATTTAAAAACGAGCAAAAGACCCCTAGTACAATAAAATACCACTTATTTATAATGTAAAAAGGACCGAAACACTGATAAAAATAAATAGGCAAAAATACCCTTATTGCTATTAAGAGTGGGCGACAAGCTTACTTTTAATTTTCTCATTCTTGGATAATTGATTATTGTGTAAATGATCGCATGACAGGTTCTAAATTATTTTTATCATATAGATCTTGTGCAGACATTAAAATGGTCAAAATTTTCGATGGTTACCTCTCGGTAATTGTCAAGGTCGGAACTATTAAACTCTCCTTATTGTTAACCCTTCACGATGTTCTCTATGTTTCTAATCTATCATATAACTTATTGTCCATTAATAAATTTACTGCTGATCGTCAATACCAGGCTAATTTCTATTCTTATTGTTGTGATTTCAGGAATTGACTATGAGGAGGATGATTGATAATGTTAAGAAAAAGAATAGTCTTTATTATCTTGATAATGGACATGACTCGAATAGATAGTGTCAAAGTATTAATTTAAATTTTGTTTATATTTCTAATGACAATGATATTATATATTAGGTCATTCTAGTTTTCATTGTTTAAAATGTGTTTCATAAAATATTTCAGAATAAAAATGTCATTGTAATGTGAAGTTTTTCAATTTATGAAGCATTATCATATTTTGTTTTTCCACAAACATATAAGCCAAGTATATCATTTACTCGGTTCATAGTAATATATGGGGTCTTTGTGAAAATCTTATATATTCTGGAAAAAAATAGTTTGACTTTAATTGATGATCACACTAGGTTAAGTTTAGTTTATTTAATGAAAGAAAAATCTGAAGTGAAAATAGTTTAAAAATTTTTTTACACTATGGTACAAACACATTTTAAAAAAAAAACTATTCAAATGTTATGAAGGGTTAATAATCGAGAGTATTTAAAAAATATTTGGGTCAATTTTTTCTAGAAAGAGTAATAATTATCAAAGCTCTTATATCGACACTCCACAACAAAATGATGTAGCTAAATAAAAAATCAAGCACTTTTGCAGGTAGTTCCGAGCTATTTTTACTGCTATATTTTTCATTAATAGAACAACCAATAAGGTTTTAGACTTTGAAACACTTTTTGATACTTCTCAAAAAATATTCCCAAAAAATTGACTCTCATCTTCTTTACTTCGAAAGATATTTGGGTGCACTACTTTCATTTACATTCATGGTCATAATCAAGAAAAAATTGTATCTCGAGCTAAAAAATTGTATTTATTTGTTATGATCCTGATCAAAAGAGGTATAAATATTTTTTTAAAAAAAACTTGTTATCTTGGATGTCATCTTTTTTGAATTGATTTTTTTTTTCACTTCATCTTCAAGGGGACAACAAAATAAAGATTAGACTAAGTTTTTGGATTTTCTTCAAACCGAAGACTCACAAAATAGTATCTCCCCAACTTTGATTGTTCAATCGGAAAGCCCAAGCAATCTTTTATTAGATGAAATTGCATCGAGTCTTTTAAATATTGAAGATGATTTGGGTCTTCCGATTATGCCATTTCATGATTTTCACAATAAGAAAGAAATAGAAAAAAGAACGATGACATTGTTACCATTTAATATTGTTTACACGGTGCAGAATACAACTCAAAAGAAAGGGTCTACGAATCATTTGCACTTCATAGAATTCACAAATCCTTCAGGCTATGTTCTTACTGTTTTTAATCTCATGTTCAGTCCACTTCATCTTCGAATTTTAAGTCTTCTGGTCCTGAAACTGAGCTCAGTTTAGATATTAAGTCTAATGAGTCTAGCCTTCCCGCTATTACTTGTAAAGGGGAGATGTTTTGCACCCAATATTCATTGCCCTATTACATGTCTTGTGAAAATCTCTCACCCCCTTTTCATGCTTTTTTCTCACAATTATCTTGTATGAAGATTTTTAGCCATGTGCGGGATGCTGTGAAAGCCCCTAAAGTGCAAGGAGGCCAAGCTTTTGAAAAAATTGGCAAATGAGAATTGGTTGATCCACCCAGATGAAAATATACTTTCGGGTGCAAATGAGTGTTTACACTCAAGTATAATTCAAATATCTCTAGAACAATACAAGGTTTGATTGGTTGACAAGGGATTCACTGAGGACTATGATATTGATTATATAAAGACATGCACTCTAAATTCTGTAATAGTTCTTCTGTCATTTGCGGTTTAATCTTGACTGATTTCTATAACAATTTGATATAAATAATATCTTTTTTAATGGAGATTTGATGGAAGAAGTGTATATTTATGCACTTTCAGGATTTAGTGAGAAGTTTGGCACAAACAGTGTAAATCAAAAAAATCTTATTCAAGTTGAAACATTCACCGAGAGCGTGGTTTGAGAAATTTATACTATTTGTTAAAGGTCATGGGTATACTCAAGGGCAAAGGGATCATACAATATTCTTTCGACATCCGAAGGTGAGAATATAGCTATACTAATTGTGTATGTGGATGATATTATTCTCACAAGAAATGACACATATGAAATGAACCGTTTGTGGAATTTTCTATCATTTGTTTTTGAAATCAAGCATTTAAGATCGTTTTTTTCCAATGGAAGTATTTTCTTGATATTCTAAAGGAAATAGTGATGAATGGGTGTAGACCTGAAGACACTCCAATTGATTCCAATCAAAAGCTGAGAGATGGGATAGATCGCGACCTAGTTAATACACTTCAATATCAAATGTTGGTGGGTAAGTTGATATACTTATCACATACATGGCTAGATATCACCTTTGCTGTGAGTTTGGTAAGCCAATATATGCATGTCCTATACCTTGAAGTAGTCAAAAAAATTCTCATATATCTAATGGGTAGATTAGGTAAGTGCTCTCTCTTTCAAAAGACCGCAAAAAAGAGCATGGATGCATACACTAATGTAGGTAGGGAGGGCCCAATTATTGACATGAGATCAACTTTAGATACCACACCTATGTGTGTGGAAACATGGTGACATGGCAAAGTAAGAAATAGAATGTGGTTGCAAGGAGTAGTGCTAAGGTAGACTATAGTGCTATGGATAATGAAGCAAGTGAGATGTTGTGATTGAAAAGAATTCTCTAAAGTTGCGGATCCCGACAAACTTGCCAATAAAGGTACACTATGACAATTAATCAACCATAAGTATTATAGAAAATCTAGTGCAACATGATCTTACAAAGCATGTGGAGATTGACAGACACTTTATAAAAGAAAAGATTGATTGTGGAGTTATTTACATGTTGTTTATCCCTTCTGCTTAATAAATAACAGATATCTTCACCAACGAACTGTTTGGGCTTAATTTTGAATTTTTTGTAAGCAGGTTGAGCATGTTAGATATCCATGCTCCAATTTAAGAGGGGGG